AACGAAAGAAGACCGAACAGGATGAAGACCATCCTGCTGGCGGCAGTGAAGGTGAGTGTGATGATAGTGAGGGTGATGGTGATGAGTGTGATGATGGTGATTGTGATGATAGTGATGATGATGGTGATGTGATAATATTGATGATGGTGATGTGATGATAGTGATGATGTGATGAGTGTGATGATGGTGATTGTGATGATAGTGATGATGGTGATTGTGATGATATTGATGATGGTGAGTGTGATGATAGTGATGGTGATGGTGATGAGTGTGATGATGTGATTGTGATGATAGTGATGATGATGGTGATTGTGATAATAGTGATGATGGTGAGTGTGATGTAGTGATGGTGATGGTGATGAGTGATGATGGTTGTGATGATAGTGATGATGATGGTGATTGTGATAATATTGAGATGTGAGTGTGATGATGGTGATGATGATAGTGATGATAGTGATTGTGATGAAGTGATGATGATGTTTATTATGATTTAGTGATGATGAGTATGAATAGTGATTGGTGTGTGATGATGATGGTGATGTGATGATATTGAGATGATAGTGATAATGATGGGATTTGTGATGATATGATGGTGATGGTGATGTGATGATATGATGATGGTGATTGTGATGATATTGATGATGATGGTAATTTGATGATGGTGATTGTGATGATATTGATGATGATGGTAATTTGATGATGGTGATGGTGATATTGATGATGATGGTAATTGATGATGGTGGTGTGATGATATTGATGATGATGGTATTTGATGATGGTGATGTGATGATGATGATGATGTGATGGTGATGTTGATGATTTGATGATGGGTGATTGTGATGATGATGATGTGATTGTGATGATGATGATGGTGATTTGTGATGATGATGATGGTGATTGTGGATGATAGTGATGATATTGTGATGATTGTGATGATAGTGATGATATGATTGGTGATTGTGATGATAGTGATGATGATGGTGATTGTGATGATGATGATGGTGATTGTGATGAATGATGGTGAGTGATGATAGTGATGATAATGATGGTGATATGATATGATGGTGACTGTGATGATGATGGTGATTGTGATGATGATGGTGATTGTGATGATGATGATTGTGATGATGATGATGGTGATTGTGATGATGATGGTGATTGTGATGATAGTGATGATAATGATGGTGATGATGATAGTGATGATAATGATAGTGATTGTGATGATGATGATGGTGATTGTGATGATGATGGTGATTGTGATGATAGTGATGATGATGATGATGATAATGATGATGTGATGATATGATGTAATGATGGTGATTGTGATGATAGTGATGATAATGATGGTGATTGTGATGATAGTGATGATGATGATGGTGATTGTGATGATAGTGATGATATGATGGTGATTGTGATGATGATGATGGTGATTGTGATGATAGTGATGATAATGGATGGTGATAGTGATGATAATGATGGTGATTGTGATGATTGATGATGGTGATTGTGATGATTGATGATAATGATTGGTGATGATAATGATGGTGATTGTGATGATGATGAGTGATTGTGATGATATGATGATAATGATGAATGTGATGATATGATGGTGATGTGATGTGAGTGTGATGATGGTGATTGTGATGATATTGATGATGATTAGTGATATTGATGATGAGGTGTGATAATGTGATGATGGTGATTCATGTGATTTTGATGTTGATTGTGATGATGATGATATGATGATGTGATGGTGATGTGATGCGCTGATGATATGAATGATGATGGTGATGATGAAGGTGTGATGAATGGATTGATGATTGCGTGAGTGTGATAGATAATGATGATGATTATGGTGATGATGATATGGTGATTTGATGATATGATATTGTGATGATATGATGATGATGATGATGATGATGATGTGATGATAGTGATGATGAATGGTGATGATGTGTGTGATTGATGATGATGATTGTGTGATGACAGTGATGAAGAGTGTGATGATGATAATAGCAATGATAATGATAATGGCGATAATGGTGATGATAATGATGAAGATGAAAGTAATGATAATAATTGTGATAATAACAATGATGTTAGTGATATTAATAATAATTATAATGCATGCCATAACGAAAATTATGATTATAGTAATGATAATGATAATAATGGTAATGATAAAATTGGTAATAATAATGATAATGATGATAATAATGATAATGATGATAATGGTAATAATAATAATGATAATGATAGTAATGCTATTAATAATGATAACAATTATGATGATAATAGTGATGATGATGATAAAAATAACAATGATGATAATGACAACAATAAAAAAATGATAATAATGATAATAGGACGTACATAGTAAATATATGTTGATGTTCTAGCCAGCATTCTCATATTGACAAACAGATAACGAACTTAAAGTGAATACCGTAAGGAATAACAAAATAAGAGGGAAATTGATTATAAATGTATTGTAAAAAAA